TAAATTTATGTGATTAAGTTGATGTCCATAGTATTATTGGAAAAAAAAAATGTTGGAAGTGATTGAGTATTTTATAGCTACAGTTTGGGAAATAATAAAAGTCAATATCTTCCAACACAAACTAGATTTCCTTTCACAGTGCTCACGAGCCTCCCTAGTATTCATGGTCCATGGTCTACGCATTGCAAGGCCTCCTACGTCCTCGTCAATTATTTTATATCGTTACTAGTTGGGAATAACAAAACAGTATTATTCTCGTTTCTTCCAAAACAATAGGTCAGCGTTTCTTCCAAAACAATAGGTCAGCAGAGTCTACCAGCTAAAGGCTTAGGCAGGACCATTCTTTTTCCGAAGAAACCTAGCTACACAGAAATAAAACTATCCCTTTTTATCTTCCAAAAAAGGACAAACAAGATGGTGAGATCATGGGCTTTGATACTGCAATTTTGTTTTGCTAACTGCTTAATATTTAGTGCTGAGCTTACCTTTCGAAAACAGGATAAGGTTCAGCTGCAAAAGCAAAAAAAAAAAAAATATCTGTAACCAAAAAGGAAAAAACTACGAAAAAAAAGTCTTCAAATCATAAATATGTGGCTGGCATCAATAATTAAAGGTATCCACGATCATATAGATGCCTTGAGAATTCAAAAGATCTTGTACAGAAAACCAATCTATTACCATAAACTAACCTTTCTTCACCACATTGATTCTGTGCCAAACTTTGGTTTTTCCTTTTGCTGGATAAGTTGGATAATCAGTTCTTCGATATATTTCTTGTTGGAAGTATTAAAACAAAGCAAGCAACTAAAGTCAGCCTGAAATAGAAATGTCTATGTTCTGTCTGTCTCACTAAATAGAAAATGCCAACGGGGTTTAGCCCAGTGGAAAAGTACCCCATTGAAAAGAACATATTGACTTGCAGTCTAGTGATTTCAAGTTCAAATCCACATGGCACTTGGGTGTGTGTGAGAAAATTCATTTCCAGTTATAGTTTAGACTATCACTTGTATTCAAAATAAAAGACACTCAATAGAAAATGATATGCAAGGAGATTGAATTTAAAGGACTTGATTATTAGAACATGTCCTGTACTTTCTTTTATGTTTATTTCATATACTGTGTAATTGGGAATCAAAAGCTTGCTAGCTTACAAGGCCTGGTCCCCTCTCCGTGTTGTGGTGGAAAATCTACCAACCTTCTACATCAAACACACTAAAAACTACAATACCTTGTAGCTTCCTTTCTATCTCTTTTTTACTTTCTACTTGATGTTCACTGCTTAAAAAGAAAATATTATGTGGTTTCAATCCACTTCCTCCTCATCACTCTCCTGGTTTCCTGTACAGAAAAGCACGTCAAACTATCTGATTTGAAACCGGCTTCTTCTGCATGTTTAAACACTTGCAGTTTGCTCGAACATCGCTAAGAGTCTGCAAAAGAATACACGTTGTTTGTGATTAAAAACTGATGCTTGTCCACAATGCAGACACTCTTGATTTAAGTTCTCTCATACCTTGAACTGCTTCTGAAGGTCTTTAATATACTCAACAGCCAAATCTAACATGTCCGCTGTGTTGGTTTGCTGCCAAGAAATTTATAAAAAAATATTAAATGCCATGAGTTTCCAAGGATAAGTAGGAAATAGATCTGAGGGTAAAATGCTTGTATCAAATTCTACCTTGTCCATGTTTGGGACAAGCTCTTGTAGTTTCCTCATTCGTTCACTGATCCGTGTTCTTCTAACCTGTAAATAAATTACCCCGTAACTGTCATCTTTTAATTCATGGGTAAAGCCACAAATACTTCATTCAGTAAATAGAGAATGTTCTTTTTTGGAGCAAAGACCAAGAAGAAAAATCAAAATTTTAAGTGATATGGTGAACATACCAAGTTACTATGTATGAAAAAAATTATTTTTCTCACTGACAAAAGATTTTAACTGGCTATGGATATAGGAAAATATTTACTCTTTCTGCAATGCTTCGGGGATGAGTGGCACAACCTCGCTTTGCTCTAACTTTACAAGGCACAGAATCTTGGAGTTGCAAGAACTTTTCCATGGCAATTTCTGCTGAAGTTTTTGGTAAACTCAGGTGGTGGGATAGTATATGAATCCGGTTTTCAAGCTCTCCATTCTAAGCATGAAAATTATTCAGAATGATATGCATAAAAAATTTGAGGAAATTCAACCACAGACACAAATTAGTACCTGAGGAACAGAAAATAACTTCCCATCATTATCTTGGTCTCTTCTCATGCCACCTAAATTTTCAGCAAAATTTGATGAATCATTCCAAGTTCCGAATGGGAATCCTGTACCATAAAATCGAGTATCAGCATTGCAATCTCCAAGCTGTCTGTGCATGGATTTAGTTCTCCATTAGTACCATTAGGTCCATCGTTTCTTCTACCTTTAATGGTGGCATGGCCTGAACTTTACTTTTAAGATATTCAATTATTTAATGTACCGGTTTTCAAGCTCTCCATTCTAAGCATGAAAATTATTCAAAATGATATGCATAAAAAATTTGAGGAAATTCAACCACAAACACAAATTAGTACCTGAGGAACAGAAAATAACTTCCCGTCATTATCTTGGTCCCTTCTCATGCCACCTAAATTTTCAGCAAAATTTGATGAATCATTCCAAGTTCCGAATGGGAATCCTGTACCATAAAATCGAGTATCAGCATTGCAATCTCCAAGCTGTCTGTGCATGGATTTAGTTCTCCATTAGTACCATTAGGTCCATCGTTTCTTCTACCTTTAATGGTGGCATGGCCTGAACTTTACTTTTAAGATATTCAATTATTTAATGTACCTTGCTAATTGTGATCTATCAGCCGTTAATTAGGACTAATTTTCCCAATACTAAGAGTATCCTAGATAAGTGTTGTCAATAATAGTACATCTTCTGATTAAAGTCATTTCCTCAATTCCTTTAGCCCACTTCGAAGTTGAACTCGCAACCGATTATTTCCCATAAAATTAATCACATGGATGCTAAATTTTCAGCACAAAAAACGTGTTAAAGAATGTAAAGTCCGCCGGTCCGCCGGTCCGCCTCTCTGAAATCTTAACAAGATGAGCCTAATGCACTCTGCCTAGTAGAGGTTAATATCACTCCTCCAAATTACATCCAATCTCTTACTCTTTTTGTTTCTCGTTTGTTAATATCTTCTCTCAACTCAACCAAAATGCAAACGAGCTTCCCAAATCAAATTTCATTACCTATAACCTAATACTAAAATGGAAATCTTTAAACAACTCAAATTACACAATGACATGGAATCATAAGCTAATGAAAGAGAGCATAAAAAAGATTACCATTTTGAACAGAGCTGTTGGAGAAAAGCCCAGCAGGGGAGCTACTTTGTCGAACAAGATTCGAGTGAACGGCCTTGGGTTGAGTGTGATGGTTCATTGCAGCCGAACCCACCAACCCATACGAGCCATTGAACGAGCTCTGTCTCGGATAATGAGGAGGGAGCCCAGAATAGCCCTGCTGCTGTGAGCTCATACGGCTCTCCGTCGCCGTCACTGTAGACTTGTCGTCTAACTCTTGAAAACTCGACGGCCAAGAGTCCGAGTCGTTGGTGTGGCTGTAATTCGCAAATCTAGAAAACAATCTCTCTGACTCAGAACCCTCAATTGGGTTTTTACCAATGAGGCCCAAATTGCTGTTCTCGTTGAAATTTGCGAGCAGTGAACTCGGAGCAGAGCGAAATCTCAGTAACCCAGAATTCGGTTGGTGAGTTTGGTGCTCTTGGGAGTGCAAGTTCTGATGGGTATTTGAATCCATGAATTGTGGTTGCTCTGTTTGCCACTGTGGGATTTGAATTAATGGGCTCGTGCCAGAATTTGATGCTGGAGGACCATTATACATACACTGCTCACGTAGCTTTTCCGAGAAAATTCTGGGAATTTTTTTTCTTCTTTTTTTTGTTTCTTTCACTTTCTGGAGCAAAATTTCAGCTTAAATTTTAAGCAGAGTGGGATAAGATCGTGTAGAAGAAGCAACCGAATGGAAAAGCTAAGCTTGACCGAAGCGTAAGCCACAGAGAGACAGAAACCTTAGCTAGAAGATAAGCAGGCCCGTAATTAAATGGAACCTTGAGGTCTGTGTTGTCTGTGGAAAACAGAGAGAGATGCAGAGGCTATTATGAAGCGAAGGGAGAGATTGACTGCAGCCTCAGATTAGCTTTTCATAGCACCGAAAGCTAGAAAGATCTTGAGCTGAGAGAGAAGGAAAGGGAGAGAGAGAAGGATAGAGAGCAGTGGATTTAACTTCTTCTTGCTTGTGATACGAGTTGGGATGCGGCCAATGGAAAAGTACAGAGAGCTATCGATCTCTCAAGTCTTAAGTCTCACTCTCACCACCTAAGTGTCTCTCTTTTTTGCTTCTTTTGCTAAATTGCCCTTTGCTACTTTTGTACATGGTACTTTCGGGTTTCCTCTTTGATATTCTCGATATAGGTAAGTTTTTCTCTGTGACATGGGTAAAAAAATGGACTTTCCACAAGTAGGCCCATACTAACATGACATATTATATACGAGAAATTCCTTAGAGCCTATTTAAAGAGAAAAACCCAAAAATAGTCACTTGTTATTTTCTAATGACTAATTGGTTCTTATAAAATTTTAACACATTAAGAACCAATAAGAAAATGACAAGTGGCTAACTTTGGGGTTTCCTCTCCAAATAAGCTCTATATGAGTTTTTGTATAATATGTCATGCTAAAATGAGTTTTTGAATAACTATCTACAAAAGAATAGTTTTTGTGCCATATTAAGTCACTTAGTGATGTAGATATGAAAGTTTCCAATGTTGTACATATAACTAATTTGGATCAATTACGTTTTGCATATCTCCGTGGCTTGAGGTGAGTGAGAGTTACAAATAGTATAATCAACATTACACATTGGTAAAAAGTTTAAAGTAATGCTAGAAAGATCACATTAAATTTGTATAGAGAAAAAAAAAAAAAGTATCATTACATTAAGAAATGAACAATTTATTTATTTTATTTTATTGATTACAAAATAACTCACACGCTATTAGTGCATAAGAACAAAAACAAGGACACAACCCCAAAATTTATATTAGGGTTAGTCATTTATTCTCTTAAACTAAATGAAAAAAAAGGGCAATACATTTTCTTTCTTCTCAATCCCACGCACCAAAATAAGTTAGTGTGTTATATCACTAACATTTCTTAGTGCATGTACATCTCCGCCTGAAGCCAACACATTTGCCTTCTAGGAAGCCCTCTTTTTTGCAAGTATCAGCACAGTGGTTTGATCGGAAGCAAAGTCCCTTGAATTTCATGCTTAGAGACTCACAAGTCCTCGACTTCCCCTTTGTTGCGACCTTGCCCTCAGCAACCATTGGACCCGTCCCTGCCAAACATTCGTCGATAAAAATTAATGAGAGAAGGTGGATTCAAACTTGAAACATCTTCCAGCATTGGAAAGAACTATATCATCAATTTTGATTTTCTTATATCATTATAGGTAACGGTTCCAGTTTGTTTTGAATTTTTATCAAAGATAAAGACGAAATTAAAATGAGGAAAGAGAGAGATACCAATAGCCACAAGGAGCAGGACGAGGATGAAGACAGTTGAAAACATACGTCTGGATCCCTCCATCTTGATTTTTGTTTGTGTGTACGTGCACGCGTGTGAAACGGAAAGACAGACAGAGGGATGTTGAATGTTGATTCAAGATGCCTTGATTCAAAGGTGAACCTTCCAAGGCCTTTTATATAGAGTTGTTATGAAACAAATTAAGTGCATTTCCGTGAAGGGCGGTACACGGTGAAAAATAGAGAGTGGAGGAAAATTCAACCTTTGTTATTTTTACCTAACACTTAATTAGCCCATTTTGTGTGGACATGCATGATAAACCTGAATTAACACAACAAATAAGAACTTATAGAAAATCTTTAACCTTCTGTTTAGCCATTTTTTTGTAGGACAGATTCTATTCAACCTTCTAGTATAGGTGATGTGTCAACTCTTTTTTTTTAAAAGATGGATGTGTCAACTCTTTAATCATTTGTAATTTGACCCACAAAAGGGCCAATAGTGTAATAATTTATAATTTGAAGGGTCGTTTTCCTACTTTTTAAAAATACGGAAACCAAACTGTTGCATGCCTCAAATCACAATTAATTAATAATTATGGTTGATGAGAGTTTAAAACTGACCGTACATAATTCCATCAACTCTTTGTGGGTTGGATGTTTATTTGTGTTTTAGTCTCTACTTGTGAGAGTTAGTTGTCGCTGAAGTTGTAATTTTGGGCGTTGTATTACATACTTTGCTTAGACATGTGACTGTTACGTTGAAATGTATTTGGTCTTTTGGGGCTATTAGTAAAGATACAAGTTGTGCAATGTTGCCAATATATCCTCTTATATATTAATTAATCCTTTGCGATTACTGTGCGTACATCTTTGTATCAACCCTTTATGAGTATTTGATCTTTGTGCCAATTTATTGAATACAATTATTCGCTAATTTTTGAAATTAAAAAAAAAAACCTGACAGTACATATTCAAGCATTATTAAAATGGACTTGCCCCATTATTTTGAAATGCCTCCTTTAATCACTTTCCCCCACCTTTTTCTGTATTTGTTGGCAACAAAAGGAAGTTGCTGAAATCATAGCCTGCAACCTAAACTTTACGCCAAAACAATCATGTTCATGTATAAGATTTTCATCTATTTCTTCAATTTCCTTTTGATTTAAAAAGCTTCTGAATCTTTGTGAGTCGAGTTCAATACAAACATGAATGCAAACTATAAGTCGCCGGCAAGAATATATTATGTCATTCTATTCGGATATGGCAATTGATTAGCATGCAAGAATTATTGTCAAAATGAATGAAATCATTTTCTTTTGTCTTGACAAAAGACAATTACCAATTGATATGGATACTCAATGTGGAATCGAATCCACTAGCTAGGTGCAGTGACCACCTAACTAGAAATATCACATGCATAATCTTTATATATATTTTTAATAATTATTCTCTTGGCTTTTCATTTTGCTAGTAAAATTCAAGGTTTTTTTTTTAAACCACAATGATACCTAAATTTATATCTAATTTTATTTTGGTCCTTCAGATCTCGTACGTGTTCCAATTTAGTTATTTTTTCAAATTCAGTCAAATTGAGGGGTAAAACTAATAATTTGGATTCAGTAATCCTTAAAAAAAACAATTTTATTTTATACTGAAATAACTAAATTAGAACACATTCGAGAATTGAAGGACCAAAATGAAATTTGTATAGTTTCAAGGATCGTTGCGGTTAAATCCAAAAAAATGGTCTTTCCACAAGTAGGCCTATTCTAACATGACATATTATACACGTGAAATTCCTTAGAGCCTATTTGGAGAGAAAAACCCAAAAATAGTCACTTGTCATTTTCTAATGACAAATTGGTTCTTATAAAATTTTAACACACTAAGAACCAATAAGAAAATGACAAGTTCACTTTGAGGGGGGAGGAAACCACTGTTCTTCCTTCCCTCTCCCCTCTTCTCTTCCTCCATCTCTTCTCCCCTCATTTTCAGAGAAAAAGGTTTTCCCTATTTGTCTTCGTTTTGTTATGATTTTCCTCCAACCATCAAAGACGGCTGTATCTCGGCGTCAGATCTTTACCTGTGTTTCGACGTCGAATCTCCACCATCATCCTTTTTGCCGTTTCTTTATGTCCGGAATAAGTCACAGAGACTCTTTGGGTTCTCTGTATAGTTTTCACATCTCCTTTTGTGAGAGCTTTTCACATCTCCTTTGTGAGAGCTTTTGGTCTCTCCTTTGTGAGAGCTTTTCATCCCTCCTTTACGAGAGTTTTATTTGTATTGTTATGGCTTGGTTTTTTCAAGCTTTATGTCTTTTTGATTATTCTGAGTTTGCAATCTTAGTTGGGATGCTGTCGAAGTTTCTTCGATCCTGCGTAATTGTTAGTGGAGGTGCCTCAGATTGTCTTAATTTTGATGTTAGACTGCTTCGTTATTGTAATGGCCCTTTGGCTGAATTATGAATGCAATCCTAAAATTTCTCCAAAAAAAAAAAGAACAGTTTGTGTGCCATATTAGTCACTTCGTGATGTAGATATGAAAGCTTCCATTGTTGTACATATAACTAATTTGGATCAATTACATTTTGCATCTCTGTGGCTTGAGGTGAGTGAGAGTTGGTTCATGGCCTCTAAAAACTAACAAAAGCAACCCCTAAAGTTACAAATAGTATAATCAACATTACACATTGTATAAAGTTTAACGTAATTCTAGAAAGATCACATTTGTATAGAGAAAAAAAGGTATCATTATGTTAAGAAATGAACGATTTTTTTTATTGATTACAAAATAACTCACACGCTGTTAGCGCATAAGAACAAAAACAAGGACACAACCCCAAAATTTATATTAGGGTTAGTCATTTATTCTCTTAAACAAAATGAAAAAAATAGGGCAATAAATTTTCATTCTTCTCAATCCCATGCACCAAAATAAGTTAGTGTATCATATCACTAACATTTCTTAGTGCATGTACATCTCAGCCTGAAGCCAACACATTTGCCTCCCTTGAAGCCCTCTTTTTGGCAAATATTTGCACAGTTGCTTGATCGGAAGCAAAGTCCCTTGAATTTCATGCTTAGAGACTCACAAGTCCTCGACTTCTCCTTTGTTGCAACCTTGCCCTCAGCAACCATTGGACCTGTCCCTGCCAAACATACATCGATAAAAATTAACAAGAGAAGGTGGATTCAAACTTGAAACGTCTTCCAACATTGGAAAGAAATATACCACTAATCAAATATAAAGATAAAATTACAATGAGGAAAGAGAGAGATACCAATAGCCACAAGGAGCAGGACGAGGATGAAGACAGTTGAAAACATACGTTTGGATCCCTCCATCTTGAGTTTTGTGTGTGTACGTGCACGCGTGTGAAACAGAAAGATAGACAGAGGGATGTTGAATGTTGATTCAAGATGCCTTGAATAAAAAGTGAACCTTCCAAGGCCTTTTATATAGAGTTGTTATGAAGCAAATTAAGTGTATTTCCGTAAAGGGCGGTACACGGTGAAAAATAGAGAGTGGAGGAAAATTTAACCTTTGTTATTTTTATCTAACACTTAATTAGCTCATTTTGTGCGGACATGGATGATAAACCTGAATTAACATGTCATATGGACAACAAATAAGAACTTATAGAAAATCTTTAACCTTCTATTTAAACTTTTTTTTGTTGGACAAATTCTATTTAACCTTCTAGTATAGGTGATGTGTCAACTCTTCTTTTTTTTGTCGCCGGTGTATCCTCTTATATATGGATTAACCCTTTGCGGTTACTGTGCATACATCTTTGTATTAACCTTTTATGAGTATTTGATCTTTGTACCCAATTATTAAATACAATTATCACTAATTTTTTAAATAAATAAAAAAACCTGACAGTACATATTCAAGCATTATTAAAATGGACTTGCCCCATTATTTTGAAGTGCCTCCTTTAATCACTTTCCCCCACCTTTTTCTGTATTTGTTGGTAACAAAAGGAAGTTGCTGAAATCATAGCCCCCAACCTAAACTTTATGCCAAAACAATCATGAATGCAAACATGTTGGTAATTTATAAAAAGCTTCTGAATCTTTGTGAGTCGAGTCCAATACAAACATGAATGCAAACTATAAGTCTCCAGCAATCAAGAATATATTAAGTCATTTTATTCGGATATGGTAATTGATTAGCATGCAAGAATTATTGTCAAAATCGCCGGTGTATCCTCTTATATATGGATTAACCCTTTGCGATTACTGTGCATACATCTTTGTATTAACCTTTTATGAGTATTTGATCTTTGTACCCAATTATTAAATACAATTATCACTAATTTTTTAAATAAATAAAAAAACCTGACAGTACATATTCAAGCATTATTAAAATGGACTTGCCCCATTATTTTGAAGTGCCTCCTTTAATCACTTTCCCCCACCTTTTTCTGTATTTGTTGGCAACAAAAGGAAGTTGCTGAAATCATAGCCCCCAACCTAAACTTTATGCCAAAACAATCATGAATGCAAACATGTTGGTAATTTATAAAAAGCTTCTGAATCTTTGTGAGTCGAGTCCAATACAAACATGAATGCAAACTATAAGTCTCCAGCAATCAAGAATATATTAAGTCATTTTATTCGGATATGGTAATTGATTAGCATGCAAGAATTATTGTCAAAATGAATGAAATCATTTTCTTTTGTCTTGACAAAAGACAATTACCAATTGATATGGATACTCAATGTGGAATCGAATCCACTAGCTAGGTGCAGTGACCACCTAACTAGAAATATCACATGCATAATCTTTATATATATTTTTAATAATTATTCTCTTGGCTTTTCATTTTGCTAGTAAAATTCAAGGTTTTTTTTTTAAACCACAATGATACCTAAATTTATATCTAGTTTTATTTTGGTCCTTCAGATCTCGTACGTGTTCCAATTTAGTTATTTTTTCAAATTCAGTCAAATTGAGGGGTAAAACTAATAATTTGGATTCAGTAATCCTTAAAAAAAAACAATTTTTTTTATACTGAAATAACTAAATTAGAACACATTCGAGAATTGAAGGACCAAAATGAAATTTGTATAGTTTCAAGGATCGTTGCGGTTAAATCCAAAAAAATGGTCTTTCCACAAGTAGGCCTATTCTAACAT